ACGTGCAGTACAGAAGTTAAACAATCTGTTTCCCTTCCTATTGTGTCCAAGCCCTTAAAGCTGTGCTACAGAATATTGATTGACAATCCACTTGCTGATAACGTCTCAACAGTAATGCTACACCATGCTGTTGGAATCCCTTCACAGCCGTGGCTTCCTTTTTTATTGGTGTTTTGTGAGTGTGTGTGTTGCTGGTTGTTTTTTGTTGGTTTTTTTTTGTTTGCAATAGATGGAATACGTAGTAGGCTGCATGTGCTTGGTGTAGGAAAGGCCACAAAGCTTGGACTGTGGGCAATAAAGCAAGCAAGGAGAATGAGCCTCTCAGTAGAGGCTGTGGCACAGTGCAAATCCTCGCTGCCAAAAACAACCTAGTTACACGTTCCTGGCAGAACAGAAATCTCCCCTATGTCTTGGAAGTCTCTGCCCTCTGCTGGCATTCCCGAAGATCAGCCTCAGCACGGCTGTGGGAACCAGTCCTCCCACCCCCGAGGAGTCCTTGCAGGCAGCGTTGTGACTGGCTGTATTTATAAAACAAATCCTTTAGAACACGGTGTCGCACGAAGTGCAAGAATGCCGGTGCCCGACAGGGATCTAAATTTCAGGTGACATTTGCTGTTGACTTCTGCAATGATTTTCTGATATCTGCCTGCTTCTCACCTTGCCCAACACTACAGGGGTTAGTCTGACGCATGTCTGCGTGCCATTGCAGGCCTCATCTGTTTTCTTCCAGTGAGCAAACACAAAGAAGAAGAAACAAGATTATAAATGCCACTTTTTGTGTGCTACTTGTTGTGGTGGTGGTTTCCATTCTACTACTAAAAAAAAAAACCATGCTTGTTTAGGAAAATTAATTATTACCAAAAAAGGTTTCAAAGTGCAATTTTGGGTTAATGTAGAACTGCCACTGTTGAATGACTCAGCTACCATTGTATTTGGAAACCATTCCATCTGTGTTCTTTGGGTGCAGAGCATAATTTTAAACCCCAATTTTGTGGCAGTTGCTATTAGCCGATTGGTAGAAAGTTAATTTTCCCATAAAAATGTAACTTTGAAAAACTAATTAAACCTGTCAGTAAAATATGTAAATTTCACCACAGAGTGAAGTCTGAAAACATTCCAGGTGGAGTCCTGCCACGAAGTGAAGGTTCTGCAAAGTGAGAGGACCACACGTGGGTCAGGCTTCTTCGCAGGTGCCAGCCCCAGTCCGACCCATAGCGTGGCTCTCATCCACTGATGCCGGAAATGCCAAAACCAGCTTCTTGCCCAGTGGTAACAGGACTTTGGTACTGACACTACTGATGTTCTACTGTACAAGTTTCCTTTACACTTATTGGTGCTTTATTAAAATCTACTTTTTCTGAAAGGAGCAGGAAGCATTCATCCAGAGCAGGCCTGTCCCAGCCGCTACAGCATTCTGACAGAGCCGTGTTTTGTCTCTGCACATTTGTATCCGGTGCCATGTGGAACAGCTGCCCGAGCCTGGGGTAACTCTGCCTACGCATGCAGGGGTCTACGGCGTCATTGCATCACCTTTTCCAGGGCCCATTGGCTCAGCTCTGGAAATTTCTAAGAAGAAGGGGTAGGCTGCTGCACCTGTAAAAGCCAGAGTGCTAAGCACAAATGGGTTCTGTGTGTGGGTGTAAAAGCAGGACTGAGCCGTGCAGCTCCCTTTGTTTTATTTTTCCCCAGACTTCAATGATCCCTTTTATGACAGGAGCATGCAACTTTCAAAGGAAGTTGTACAGAAACTGTCTTACTAAGTTGGCTCCATGCATGTGAGTTGTTTAATATGATGCCATTTGTACAGTCCTAAATAAACTGATAAATTCAGCTGCTTCATAGATATAAAAAATTCATATGTATTGTATTCCTCAAATCAGAGGAGGATGAACATCTTACTTCTGCAGTATTACATTGTTATTGATGGTGTCATATAAATGGTAAAATATGTTGAACAATTCAGGGCTTTTCAACACTACTAGGGTGGAAATTCATCAGGTGTTGTATTTTTGTAAGAACAACAGAGTTGTCTCTGCCCATGGCAGGAGGGTTAGACTGAATGATCTTCAAAGGTCTCTTCCAGCCCAAACTGTTCTGTGATTCTGTGAAAATTTTCACAACAGCCCTGCAGTCTCTCACCTGTGTGCCTTTAGTAGGGAGTAACTCCCTGCAGTTCCCACAGACTACATCTCTCCCTCCCATTGCAGCACCAACAGACCTCCGAGCCCACTGAAGGAGCCAGGCAACCCAGATGTTTGCAGTGTCATGGCGCCTTTCTCTCCTAAGACAATTACTTAGCTGGAATAAAGTTTGTAGAGATACAGGATGAAACTGGTCCCATAAATTCTCTTTTCCATCAGACTCTGCAGATTAAATCCCTCACCTGTAGAAGCAAGCTTGATATACACTTGTCAACATCTTCATTCTCACTCTCAAGTTTCAGTAATGCCATTTTCAGTCTTTCCATTCATACCTGTGATTAATAAAATTTAATCTAGTCAACAGTCTTCCATGCACAATTATGTTTTAACACCATTCACTGTTTCACAGCCAGCACATTTCACCACTCTTACATTGCTACAGTCAACGTATAGCTTCCAATAGCTGTATTACCACTTCATACCCAGTTGGCACCAGTACCATTGATTGAAGACACTGGGGTAGACAGCTTTTCTGGAACAGAGAAATCGCATGTATTTTCTACCATTCTTCCCCCATCAAGCAAGAGCAGAAGAAAGGCATCTCAGCTGAGGACAATGTTCCTGTTGCTCCATTCACACTCCATTCATCACGGATTTCTTCCATTCCAGGAGCTTACTCAGGTACTCTGCCTTACCATAAGCACAGCCTTTCATTTAATGAGCTGGGTGGGAGCAGCAGGCAGGAGACCCCTGTGAGGCATTGAACCAGAACTAGAGCTCCACACATACAGCAGCCCAGGGACTGGTGCTACTGCTCCACGTTCAACACTGCCCTTCCAGAGCTGCTCTGCTTCTAGTCCTGTACATGCTCATCAGTATGACATAGAGGGAGACAATTAACAGGGTTAGGTCTCCACAAGCCTAGAGACCCTCTGCTTAGCATAGTGTAGACACCTCCCCTGTTTTCAAGGCTATCTTTGGTTGACACTGGCAGAGCATAGCTGAAGCATGTAGGTCAGAACCACAGCTGCGCTTCAGGTTTTCCTACCAAGATCATCAGGTCCTTCTAGTGAAGGAGGAGGAATCAATCTAGCTCTGAAATGTGTGTTTCACACCTCATTGTCTTTTTCCAAATTTTTGTTCTCTACAAAAATGGAAACCTGTTCTCACTCTTTCCTCCTGTATAATCTCAGGGTTGGTTAGTCACAACCTCCAAGTTAATTCCACATGACAGTGACCAGTCATTTGCTTTTTTCACCAGGTTATTATAGTATTAAGGTCCAGGTACGTGCACATAATCTCCAAAAAAAATGTCTGAAAAGCCCTTAGCAAATAAAAGATTTTCTGCTCATCACAGTTATCTCCTGCCACAGCAAGTCCTGCAAAAATATTAATGAGCCATACAGCCTGTGAGGTCCTTGCTCCCATGCCCTTATACAACTTCATAAATGCACATCTGGAAGCCCAGCTGTGCCCCCTTCACCATTGAAGAGTTTGACTTGCTCTTCACAGAGCTTCTAGGACAATTCAGTAGATATGTGCAAGACAACACAACAGGGCAACTTGAAAGCAAGTTGGAAATTCAGATAGCATAACCAAGGGAAGCTTTCAAACCATGTAAGGCTGCGAGTAGAGGAGCTCTTCCTTTCTCCAGAACCATCAACTAACACCCCAGTGTTTCACTCCTTATCAGTGCCCTGCAGTTTTCGTCTGTACTCTTAGCCTGTAAAAATTCCTGGTCAAATAGTAGAGCTGTGAGTCTTCTATTTAAATTCAAAAGCAGCTTCATGAATTGACAGTTCTTGACGTGTTTGACAAGACAGAAAAATTCCCCTCTACACCTCTGTATCCAGGAAAACAAAACGAGCAAAGGGACAGTCATACCATAAAAGACAATTATACAGCCATGTGACCATGCCAAAGTTCACAGGGGCACACGTGAGCTTTTCCTACTGGGAAAAAGGAAAAGGTTTCCTGGCACACGGTGGTAAACCCATCCCCAACACAACCCTGAAGTTAAGTTTTAAAAAGAACAAAGTGCATAAAGAGAATGAATACACAATTACACATACCCAATTGTTTCCAAGATGTTCCAAAAAAACCTGGCAGGACAGATTCCATGCAAGTCTGTGCTCAAAGCAGGCAATGTTTTCACTCTGCAACAAGACTGTATTTCCAGGTCATGTAGCTGGACTGCAGGAAACACTGGCTCCAGCTGAAAGCCTGCCTCTGTGCATGCCTCAGAAATGTACTTTATGCAGCATGATCAGAAAGATGTAAGTCCTTTGCCACAACTGAACTACAAGGTCAGTTAAACTTACTAAAATGTTATCCAGATATTTGGGTTACAGTGATTGAGACAGCCCACTACGTAAAACAATATACATTTATTTAGTGAAGAGAGTTCCATATTCAAATAGAAGTGTGTGTATATTTTTTCTAGTGCTTTTTCCACAGCACTTCTCTTTTTGAAAAAGTAAAGAACCGTGACTAAGAAAGACATACTAATCATTTGGCAGAATGATGATTCTAGCCTACAACTGTAGGCCTGATAGCAGCTTATAAATTGTAAGGCAAATTAGAAATTTCTTCTCAGGTAATCTCTACACAGTTCCATTAACTCAAGTGTAAGAATCACAAGAAGAATGTTAAAAGACCAGGACATTAAATATGACCACAATGTTTCCTGTAACTACAGACAATATAACATGCAGGGGCAGGGTTATATTCTCAGAAAGAAAAAGACAAGACAGATCATTGAAAGATTCACAATAAGTTGCCTGAAACACTGGCTGAGAAAAAAATCCAATCATTTTGTATGTGATTACATGACATAATTAAGCACAATTCCCATTTCAGAGAAAACGGGTAAGTCAACATATAATGCTCAGAATTAAAGCCTGCGACTTTCATTTAGAGACAAATACTAGATACACGTTGATAAACAAATGCTGATAGCTCACAACTGACAGCACAGAAGTTATTACTTGGAATCTGGTTCCATTAATGATGTAACTACAATCAGTGGATACAGCAGACCACCCAAATAATACTGGCAGGCAGTTTTCCCGTAGCTTCTCCTTCGCTGAAGTTCCACCACCTTAAGTGACTGACATCAGAGATGTGCTGCTGCAACTAGTTCAGTCTTCCCTCCTGTAGTTATCACCTGGATCAGACTCCCTGAGTTGGGTCGATTCTTTCCTGTTACCCAGTCGTAAAAGGTTCTGTTTTAAAATAAACAGATAAAACAGTGAGGAGGAAGAAAAAAATAAATACCACTATCAGGTATATTCACGGGATGCATAAAACAAAAGCCTGTTACTTTTCTTATTGCCCTCTCTAGTGACTTCTGTCTATGTTGTAATCTGAATTCAGACCCTAAGAGCTGGACAGAGGCCCAGAGAAACCCACAGGACTTTACAGCACGTGCACAGGATTTTCACAACATCTCAAAGACCAGGAGCTTAAAACATCAAAGCGGCAATCCAAAGTGGCAAGTTTCTTTCCAAACTAAAAAAAAAAAAAAGGCAGAAGGAGAAGCTACTCAAGTTGTCTTAAGTATATATCAGAAATACAGATTTATGGCTGAATCCATTACCCTGCCAACAGAACATTGTAACAGTTAGATATTTCCCTGTGGAAGCAGTCTCAGCAGAAGCACAGAAAAACTTAAGACATCCAAAACAGCATCAAGTAAGACAGACTCATTCTGGGTAGCATACCAGAACACTCCTTACTGAAACATGACACAAACTCCTTACTCAAAATATACTACAGAAAGCACAGTCGGTATATTTTTCATGTCCACCAACCCTTCCAATACCGCAGACACAGCAGGACATTCCGACATGGCAGCTGCTGTCTGACTCAACAGCTTCCAGGGCACGAGAAGCTTCAAGGGCCATACAGGCAAAGATTCCCTGCAGCCTTCCCACGATGTGGATGTTACCAATGCTTAACAACACTGGATGGTTTTTTGCCCACAGCAAGTGAGATTTTCAGTTTTCAAAAGATGAACTTAAAGTTTAGGGAATTAAGAACCCAAGAAATAAAACCAATAAATCTAATTCTCCCATAAGGAAAATACTTAAAAGTTAAAATTTAAAATATTGTAAAACCACAGCAGCTGGCTAAGCAGCCCCTGGAGGACAATAAAGATCTTTTTCATATATTTTTAGGCCAACTAAAATCAAATGATTGGGCCTTTTGAAAAAGCCACATCAAACAGCTGCAAAGGCTTCTTGCAACAAAAAACATTTCCTGCTCTGACCATCTAACTTAAAAAAAAATATTACAAAAAAGGAATTCTTATGCCAGAACTACACTGCTGTCTGAATAATTAGCAACCGGTAAATGCAGTTTCAGTTTTAGTTCTAAAGGACTAAAAACATGTAAGAATAAAGCCCTTTACAGTCTATGAATGTAGACTCATCTTTGTTTTTCCCCAGAGGCAGGACAGTTGTGTATTTTCTTCCTTTTGACATCTCACCCTTAGTAGAATCTTTGCTACTCCCTGTCATGTCACAGAAAGCCACGCTTACCTCATTCAGGAGAAACTTTGTGGATGATGAGAAACAAAAAAAAATACTTGACTAAGTTTTTCTAAACTAGAGCAGGAATTTTGCCACCGGAGAGAAATGAACCAACACACCATGGACTGGGCAGTAAAGAGTATTTAAAAGAAAAAAAAATTCGCCAAAACTTACATGCCTATTACCAGTTTACCTTTAAGCCAGACTAAGGTCTCCTGCATCTGCTGGCTGCAATTTAATTTGCCTACAGGCTTCATGAGATTCCCTGGCTTCCAACTGTTTAAGGCTATCTCCCTTGTCAGAATAAATGGAGTTGACAGAGTTGGGCTAATTTTCTCCAGTTAAGAAGCCTATGCAATAAACCCAACATTATTTAGAAACATACACAATGAGATGACAGAGAGGAACAAAACAAACACACTGAAATCCAAGGCAGCTATTTGGAAAGAACATGCAACAGGATACAGCAGCAAGAGGGACAGTGCGGAATTGCTTTGTTATCACACAGATACTCACTCAGCAACGAATTCTAAGGGTGTCCAGGAGCTGAAATCTGCATCAGGCATTGATTTCCTGTTTGCTGGTGTATCTAAGGTAACCCTATGATTAAAAAAAGATAAGCCTTTTATTTATACATCATGTTTCTGATGAGTGCCACCTGCTTTATTCATTGCTGTAACATGTGCTTGACTTCTGTACCACATGGTACGAATTTCCACTGCATGCTCTACATCTGTTAACAGCATACAGCCATCAGCTGCAACATCTATCAAAGGCTCTAAGGTATAAGCCCTCACGTTCCCAGCTCGCTGATGACACCCAGCCCAAGAGGACAATCACTTAGCCCACAGCTGCCTTCCAGCCTCTCTCAGGCAGACAGGGAGCAGCAGCAAAACGCTTGTTCACACATACTGCTACATCCACACGTTCAAAGAGCCTCACACCAGCTGCAAATGCAGAGATTAGGTGCACTAGCACAGGGAGCTTTGAACATGAGGATGCATATTTACGCTACATACAATGATATTAAGGGGGAAACTTTTCACAGCTCCCTCACTGAGACCCTGTTGACAATCCAAGGTATAATTACTCTCTCAAAAATCCACTCAAGAACAGCGTTTTACACAAGAGCTATGCCAGAGCAGGATGCCCAGAACGCCAGTGATCTTGGTGTGTGCCTGTCTGTAAAGCTCTGTGGAAAGTAGGCAGTGTCAATCACCCAAAACCACTTCTTAATGCTGTTGCTCTCTGACCCGAGGAAGTGCATGTAAGAGCGTGTATACAAGGAAAAAACAGGGAGAACCCAGGTAGTGTTCCAAATCCTTATACAGAACTCTTTGGTCTTAAGTTTTGGGTCCTGAACTAGATATGGACCTGGCAAGAAAAATACATTTTTGCAGCAGAATTGATACATTTAGACATAGTAAAGACCTTCTAGGCAGTCCACTTTTTTCTAGCTTTCCTTATCAAGAAAGCTGTGATGGGCAAATACAAGCTAAATGTTTTTCTTTTCACACATCCTCAAAGTGACTTAATTTTACTGATCAAGCACAGTTTTGCAGCGCCTTATGAAGAAATATCTTTAGTCAAGTCAAAATTTGTTAAGTAACCCTTCGCTTTAATATTAGCACACAGTAGAGTCTAAAACTGTGCTGAATAGCTCATTTTGAGAGTTCTATCTGTACCAAAAAAAAAAAAATTAAAAATACACATACTAATGCATGGCTATGGTTAAACTGGTTAAAAGAGAATCAATTTTAATCCTAACCCCACTACTGCTTTGCAAAGGAAAAGAGAACAACCTAATTTTTCAGGTGACTTGTACATCGTTTTGTTCGGACGTTCTAGATGCCTCCTTTCTCTGTGAAAGTGTAGGCTTACCCTGAGAAGCTGTTTGTGTACTGCAAACAGGACATCACAAGCACATTCACACAACCCTGGGTTAGAGCAGTCATTAAATGAAACCAGGCAACCACTTACGGTAAGATGGCAACAGCAGCAGAGCCAGACGGCAAGCCGCTGCTGGCCCCGGCCAAACTCTGACAAAGCTGATGCACCGCTCCTTTGGCCATGCCATAGCCAATCATCCCTAGCAATTAAGAACAAGCAAAATAGAGCACAATCAAAATCACTTTCAGTATCATCAGTAGTACAATAGAAACTCAGACTGTTTGATGAATATTAAGAACACTTAATAGCAGAACAGAACTAGACTTTTTAAAACATACATGTGAAATGAGGAAGAAAAACCAAGCAGCTCTTACTAGACAGCCAGGAAGTATCACAGAACTCAGTTTACTCAGCACAACAGAAATAAGAAGCTTACACAGTTAAGTACATTTAGTTCTTGTACCCAAAAGTACCCTGAAGAATGGGACCTACAGAGCTAACCTTCCAAATCTAAGAGTAAGCATGAAGATGCTCATAGACTTTAATAAGGCACTCATGCATTCTCATTGCGTGACTAAGGTATTTGCAGATTTGGACCTAAGCAGATACAGCTCACTTCTCTCCAGAACTGCAATTCACTTAGTCAGCACCCCAAGTCTGACAGGCCCTTTAGAGAAAGCTGTCAAAAAAAAAACCCAAAACAAACAACCCCTCATGGTAGAAAAACTCCTAAATAACCTGCAGGTAAAGCAAACTTCTTCCTAAACACTTGCTTTCTAGGCAGACAGTACTTGTAGTGTATGAGCAACAGAAATGAGAGCAAGGCCTTGACAACCAGGGTGCTGTTGGTTTGAGGTGTCCTGGTATGTATCTACCAAAGACACTAAGCACATAAGGAAACATACATGTATTCTGTCTACTACAATTGGATGCTTTTCTAGCCATCTCTATAACTACGCAACCCCTTCCCAAAGTTCCTGAGGAAGTATGCTGCATCTGAGTTAGGAAGGTAATTTTGCACTGTAGTCATGTTATATTCTATGAGATGTAACGTACAACATTGATTTTCATCAGGAGGCATCAGGGGCAGCAGCAGTAGCTAACACTTTATTGTTACGATAAAAATTTGCAACTATTGTATTCCCCTCTGGTCTTGTCTAAACCAAATAGTCAAAGCCTTAAGCCTTCTCACAGGTCCACATTTCTCAGCCATCACTGTCAGACTGCTTCTGTAACTGTTTATGTAATTTTCTGTGTTCTTCAGTTTGCATCCTGCAAATCAACATTTTCACATAAGAAAAAAAAAAAAATCACACTAACAGCAAACAAGATTATTCCTTCCATAATGGCTGGTAGTAACAAGCCTAACAAATCATATTTGCAAAAGTTGAGTAACAATTCTTTCCCAATTCTTCCTGATGTTAATAAGTTGCATGTGTTTGCCCAAAGCACTGCTGTTTTTTAGAAAAATCCAGACTCGTTGAAACCAGCTAGTTCCAAACATGCAAGTAAATCACTTTGATTCCTGTGTGGTGGTCCCTACCTCCCAAAACCATGCAAACAAAAAAACCCACCACAGTTCACCAGAGTTGACATTTTTTCATTTATACATGACCAGTCATTAGTACACAGTAAATTATTCATCTTATTCTCATAAAATAAGCCTTTTTATCTTTGAACTATGCCAGATGCAGCTGTAAACATAGAAGATAATCATTAACTAGAAAATATAGCTTATTTTTCCTCAACAGTTTCAGACACTGCTTTCATGTATATTCATGAATTTTATAGGATTTAAAAATTTTAGTGTGTATGTCTCATCAAAATACTATTAAAGTTACACTAACAAAAGATTTGGAAATAAGAGTATTTGTCTCAAAAACTTTCATCTCCCTGCTGGCGGGCTTGTGTCAGTGCTTTATATTTGTTTTCAATTTTAAATTGCTCCCAGATTTCTTCCTCCATGCAGACCAGTGTGGCAAGAAGCAAGATGAAAAAAATGAATAAAGTTTGTATTAAATAGCTAGTGGAGGGCAAAGCCAAAAGTCAACAAATGTCTGAAGCAAAGGTAGACTGGAATCAGAACACAAACAGGACAAGCATAGTTAACAGAAGCAGCTGAGTCATCACCAATCGAAAAATTAGGCATCTAGAGGTCTGTGCCTTCCAGAAAACAAACAGGAGACGACTTCATTTAAGCACCACACTTACAGCTTGCTGTGTACTTCTAACTTCATATTTTCCTAACTTTTTTACTATATTATACATTAGCCAAGTACATTCCACTAAAGCATGTCAAATACTATTAAAATACTAATTCTACCTGTTCCCACTCTAGCTTCAAGAGATTCATCATTATTACCTGTAACAGTGCACTTTCCTTAAGTGCTACAATCTCCTTAAGTGTTGCATTTGTACTAGATGTCAAGAAACTGGGGAGCAAAACTGTTGCTTCACAAACGAGAATGCTCAGACTAACAGAAAGCTGCAACTGCTGATGTCCCATCAGTCACCATGCACAATATTTTACCTGGGGTTCCAGATAAAGCAGCTTGAGCTCCTGTCAAAGTCAAGAGGCCGCCTTCTTTCAGATGTTTTGTGGCTAGGTGGCTGGAAATAGTTGATGTCCAAACACTCTGCTTCCACATCAGATCACAGTTTTTGTACAAAGCTGATTAGGAAAAGAATTAAATTAACTAAAAGATAGAAGACTCCTAACCCAAATTTCCTTAATGGCATATAGAGTACAACAGCACTAACCAGGACAATGAAAACATGTTTTCTACCATTTTCTACTTCTGCATGGAGTAAAACATCAGTATGTCTTTTGTATCTCCCCTTTCTTTGGGATCTGAAAGACTCAGCTCTAAAGAATATACCATAGGCAATTATCTGCTTTCTCACTACCAGAAATAAAAAAAAAAGAGCCCAAAACCTCAAGACAGTTCCATTAATGATTTCCAAGTTCTTGAAACTCTTGTGAGGGTTGCTTTAATCTATGTCAAGGATCTCAGAAGTCTCACATCAGCCATTAGCCTCATCTCACCTTGTACTTCATGACCTGTCTCATTCCATAACTTCCTCACTGGCTGCAAAGATCTATGTTCCACATGCCTTGGAGAAGACTCCAAGAGAGAAAGAGTTGAAGGAAAATACTTCTTATCACCAGATTACTTTATAAACCAAGAAACAACCCATATGTCTGACAGTAGTACACTCGTGGGGAATAGTGGAGATGCATCCACCTGCACTGTACCAAGGGTGCACTTCAGTGCCCCTGAAGACTGGGGTACAGCCTCTGGTAAGGCAGCCTACCCTGTGAGGCACACCAGTAACTTCAAATGCAAGCTCTCACCATTATCTATTACCAACATCTGCATGGGAAAACAAGAAAAACAAAGATTTTAGCATTCAGAAAGAACCACTTCCACAGCACAATATGGAATAAGCATAAATAAACCTGGTTGATAAGCTGACCACCTACCCCAAGATATCCTGCTACACTACTAATAACATTACTATAAATCACGGTTACAAAAAAAAAAATTCACCTTATTTAAAACACAGTGCACTCTAATAACAATCTAATGTAATGCAACTGTGGTGTCAGTGTATATGCCTTGCCATACTGTCTCTCTTCAAAAAGAAATCTTTGCCTGTAACATCCAGACTGGAATGGGGGAAGAAAAGGACACATTTCATCAGATATACTCCAGACAGAAAATAAGGCGCCTTTTATTTTTCCCCTTGTATCACTACACTAATGAGTAAAGAATAAAGTTTAATTCTGAACATTACATGTTTAAAAGCTTTTTTTTTTAAACAGAATTTTTTTTTTTCCTGTAGCGTGATCCCAGATCATTAGACAGTTCCTTCTAATGCTGTACTGTGCATCACAGCTCAGAGAAGCACAGGAGGCAACTGAGGTTTCACACATACAGCGATGAACTAGGAAACGACATTGAAGCTTCCAGCCAGCCACTCTCTCCCGTAACTCGCCTGACACGGATAACCTCAGCACAAGTTACTTCATAGATACTAATGCTGAACTCCTTCATAAAGTGCATCAGGATTTTTCCAATGAGAACTGGTGCATAAAAAATATTCCTGAGGATACCGAGCACTGTGCAAACTTTGGAGAAAAATTCAGAGAAGCACTAAGAGACATTGTGACTGAGCTATTTTGTACATTTACACTCATGTCTTCTGGACTCAGTAAGAAAGATGATCCCAAATATCTTCTTTACCATGATTTTAAAGGGTTCCTCTCAGATTTCATTCGTGTGTTCACCAGCACATATGTACCAAAGGCTTACATTTAGCTTTGGCGCTGCCTCCAGCCCATCCTCCTGCGACACACAAGATTGCATCCACCTTTTCTTCTCCAAGAAGTTTCTCAACCTCTGTTGTCACCTTAAATACAGAGAACAAAAGCATACTGAAAGTACCAGACTGATAAGGCAAAAGGAGTAAGTATCAAGACTACCTTATAGTTACTTTTATTCCAATTACGTAGCCGAGTAACACAACACCGAGTAATTTAAACAGCTGCAGAAAAATAACATTAACAATCTATGGATTCAAAAAACAAAATAACTGTGTTAAAAGATAACTACCGACAAGTCAGACCAATCAAAGTCAAACCATGCCCTGTGTGATGTCACTGGATATAACTGATCTGAGCAGGACTAAAAGATCTAACCCCAAACTATAGCATTAACTGTTTTTTTGGTGGGACTTATTTTTTGACAGGTTCTTCTCTGGGTATGGTACTGTTTGATATGGAAAATGAAACTCCAGGTCTGACATGGACTACTAGAGTTGCTTTTGATGATAGTGTAAAAAATGAACAACTAAAGATAAGCTTTTTTATTACTTCTACCTAGATCACACGCATCAACTCCAGTCTGGCCCCTAAAATTGAGTTCGCATATTTTTAGATAGCCAGTATCTTTTTATCTTTAAAACATAAGTCTTGCAGTCAGTAATAAATGTGTTGGTTATGAATCTTCTATGTCAGGGTAAAAAGCACACTATCTCTCAACAAAAGAAAAAATCCTGTGATTTTCACAAAGGCACAGCATTAAAAAAAACATTGCAAACATTCCATATTACTTTTCAAAAGCCTTAAGAGTTGTATAGGTATAAAGAAAACATGCTGGTCACTGATTCAGTTTGTCTTTAAAAGAAATAGGTTCAAAAGTTAAAATTTAAAAAGAAAATCAATCCTATCTCTTCAGGATGAAGCAAATGGCAAAAGAGGATTTTAGGCTAGCTAGCTTGGATTCTCATATACCTACTTTTGTGGAACCCAATGCATTCCCTAGGGATCCCACGGGCGCTTTGTATTGTATTTGCCTGGTTTGAGTGCATCACCTACCTACACACAACACATTTAAGAGTTAGCGCACTGGAAGTACGCGTTGCCTTTCAAGATGTCCTCAGCCATCTTCTTTACACTCCCCTGTTTCAGTCCATGACTTTTCAAGTCGCCAAGAGAAAAATAACGAAAACTGCCTTACGTGCTGAGCCTCCAAAATTCCAGATTAAGCCTCTTCTGCATATTCACGGATGCCGTTAAAGGGAGATCGCAAGAATAAAAAAAGTGACGAAGAGACGCCAGGATCCCCGGGCTGTCGGTACCGCAGCAGGACGGCCACCGGCCGAGCTCCCAGCCCCACGGCGGCGGCTTCTCGCCCCCGGTCGGACCACGCCCAG